TGACGGGGCACGGCACCGGAAACGGTGAACACAGCTCAGTTTTTCAAAGCACGGGTATTTTTCTTTAAAGCCACGCCAAAGACTTTACACTGAGCAGGTGTCCCTTTCACACTGGGATGTCCCTTTCTGGTGACAGTTAAAAGCAAACAAAACCCTCTGCATGTTTGGGGTTTTTTTCTGTCTCCCCAGTCTCTCCCCATAAATTGTGAGATACCTTCTGTAATTCCCTCCCCTCTTGTGCCTAGTTTCTTCCCTCTTGCTAGTACAGCTGTCTGTCCAGGATCTTTCAGCGATCTGCATGCTCAGCCTGATCAGCATCCAGTCCTGCTGATTCCTGACAGAGCTGCTGGCAGGGCAGGCTGAAGCAGGGGTAGGGGCAGGACTTGAAGACTTTTTTCCCAATTTCAGATCTCTGGATAAATATCCTGTATTTGAAGTGGGTGTATCCCAACAAAACAAGTTATCTGCAGATAGGACTGCCAATATGGCAAGTGAGTGAAATGGAAAACAAAGCCTCTTGGCTACTTCTCTGCCTGAGAGTTTTGTGTGCTGCTCTATTCTTGTGAATAGGTGTGGATGTGAGGTGTCAAAGCTTCCTCCTCTTCTCTGGCATCACAGTTCTTACCTATTCACAAGCAGCATGCATCTTGGAGGACCGGTGTTGGGTGGTCAATGGCAGAAGGCATGACAACATTAGATCTCAGTTCTCTGGTTTGCTTTGTGGGTGTTAAATTCCCTTGTGCTACCAAAAACTGTAGCTGAGTTGCTTCAGCAGAGAGGCCTGGATTAGGCTTGGCTGGAAGCAGAGCTGCCTTCCACACCGGGCAGAGGGTCGCTTGCTCACTAGTTGGTCTCCAGATCTTACAGGTTTTCTGGTTGTTTTCTTTGAGTCATGTTTACAGCCATAACACCAGAAGCCCAATTCTCAAATAAGCTCTGATGAGCCAACACATGGCTGGCTGTAATTCAGGGAGATTTACTGGTATCTGGGGTTTGACTGCTTGGAATTGGGAAGTTCAAGAGACTGACCAAGCAGTTGGTTGAATCCGTAAAGTTTTGTGCTTTTTCCAGCATGTTTTCCTCTAAAAATTGCCCTAGATACTTATTATTTTCTTACGCTTTTTACAACTTAAATATTTCTGCCTGAAAAGACTCGTGTTGGGCTTGTTAGTAAAATGCTTTGAAAATAACCAGGTTCCTTTGTGGTTGAAATGGACAATTTTATATACAAGCTTTTGCAGAGTTGAGACAAGTTTGGGTTTTGCTCTGGTGGGTGCAGAGGGAAGCCCTGATGTAACCCTGGGACCTGAAACTGTGACTTAACATCCTGGAGATGTGAAAAAGAAATGTGTTAGAAGCATTCAGGTTCAGTTTAAATACATATGTATTACTCCTGCTTCTTCAGAGGGGATAGAGTGCCCTTGAGAGTAAATAGGGAAGGATAAGGGGATGCTCTTGAACAGACGGCAGCTCCCCTGCCAGTGCCTCCTGCCTGCAGAGGTGGTTCAGCACGTCCTCCCTGAAATCAGGAGTCAGACGCCAACTAAAATAACCCTGGGAGATTTGTTACTGTTCTGAAGCGTCCCATGTGGGGCACTCCTGTAGCGAGCAGGTGTTGAGCTCTCCCTGGGAATTTTGTGCTGCTTTTTCTTCCTTGGATACAGGCTGTCTCCCCTGGAGAGTTTCCCTCCAAACTGAAAACTGCTGATGGAAGGTTTCAGTGTAAATCACGGAGCAGAAAAGATGTAGTTTTTACTAATCCCATTTTGAGCAAGTAGTTTCTTTAAACAGCATTAAGTGGGATCTGCCGTTTGCTGACAGCATTTCTTTTGGAGTTGTTTCTCTTGCATTACTTAAGCTGGGTATGTGCGTTAATATATGTCCATGCAGTTACGAATGAAGCTTGTTCTGCGTGTTGCCACCAGCTATCGGTACGTGCACTGTTACCACTGCACTCTCTGTCTTGAACAAAATGACTTAAAGTTCCTGTCCTGTCCTGCATTAGCAGTTTGATATGGATTTGGAAATGGAAATGTGTGTGATGTGTAGCTCACGTGGCAGTTTTTCCTCTTATAAAATATAACTTATACTTGAAGGAATAAAATTAGTTGCAGCTATTAATATCTTACTGAATTATGAAACTTCTTGTAAGATGTAGCAGATGATCCAGGCAAGAAAATGCCGGACAAAGCTATATGCTCTGTGCTATAATGGTAGCCTATAAATTGTGCAAGGTTGTTCCAGTAAGACCCTATAATATCTACACATTAAAAATGCCATTGGGACCATCTCTTTTAATGAATCAAGGTATTAAAGCTAGAAAAAGATACTGCTGGAAAGCTGTATACTCTTCCCTACCACCCATTTTACATTTTGTTGCTTTCCAAAATACTATCACTGTCAGCATTTTAACTGGTGTTACTTGTTACATTCGTTCAAAATGTTTTATTTTGTTTATAGACCAAAATAGTGGATGAAGAGAAAAATGCAAATGAACAAGAATTTAACTTCGAAAAAGTAAGTCAGCGGGACCTATTGAACCTCAATATTTTAGTGTGCAAGGTGTGTGTATTGGGAACACCTTGGGAAAGCTACGGTGGGACCGATGAGAAACGCTTCTAGAAAAGGTTCTCTCTTGTAGGTGAGGATTTCCTAATAGGTAATTTTGGCTGTGTGCCATGCTAAAGGAGGAGCATGCTGGCTGTTGTCAACTGCTCTGTGTGAAGAGAGGTGTGTTACAACTCTGTGGCCTTTCTTTTTGATCTTTCAATGAGAATTTGAGGAAGATCACTGTGTGTTAGCTGTGTAAAGCTATGTGAGTACCTGTAATGTATAGCATAGCTCTTTCAGGCCCATGGTGTTAATCTTGGATTTCTGATCTTGTGTGGGAGGGGGGAAAAAAAGCATATTGGCATCTGTTTTTGAACGGCAGATGACTTTTTTCCATTTGTGTTTTGTTCTTATCTGCTCTTATATGAGCCTAAGTAACATTGGCCTTCTTAGATACTGACTCGTTTGCAGGTCTGTGCAAGTTGTGTTACATGCGTGATCTCTGCTCAGAGATGTGCTGTGATCCAGTGAAATCTCTCACTGCAGATGCTGCGTGGAGCTCCATACTGCTGAGAACACTGAGGATTTAACCACTGCCTTTAAAAAGACTATAAATTCACCACTGATTTGCCAGGGTATTCTTCTATAGTGTCAACTATATGTATGTAGGTAGTCAAACCACTTCGCCATCTGCTTTATTTTATAGCATGCCGACTTCAGGTATTAGCCTGGGTTTCTTTAGGAGTATGACTTTGTTGTGGTCTGTCAAGCGTTATTTTACAATAGGTTGGACAAATTATGAAATGCTTGCAATTTTCTGTAACGTTTTAGGCTCGTTTGGAAGTGCACAAATTTGGAATCACTGGATACAAGAAGCAGGAACAACGCATATGGGAACAGGAGCGTGCTATCATGCTGGGAGCCAAGGTAATTGTCGCTTGGTTTTTGTGCTAGGCAGTCACCCAGCTGTTACAGTGCAGGAAAGGAGTAGAAAACACTGGGGGGGGTTTGCCACTACTTCTTTAAAACACAAGATTCCCCACCCTGATCCTTCTTTCACTTCATCCTTACTTTTACATTTTCTATTCTGTCTTGTCTATTTTCTGTTGATGTTTGGAAAATTAGTATGGTTGTGTTATCAGAGATGTTGTTTAGATGAAATATGACTGTCTGGGGTAGAAAACATTTACTAATTTTTTTAATCAGGCTATTCAAAACTAAATTGTTGGAGGGAGGGGCTTGCTTTTTAAAGCTTCACTTTCCCAGTGAATTAAAGATGGAGAAGACTTTTCAGTTTTATCATCAGTAGTGTAGAGGAAAAAAATAATTTTTTTAGGTCTTCTTTGGGTGGTGTGGAGGGGTATGGGTTTTCTTTCTAGCTGAGAGTGTATGTGGAAACCTTGTAGGACTGATATAGAGCGTAAGCCTCCCTCTCTACTGGCCCCACCAAGAAAGATATGGTTTCTGTGTGCCTACCTTACATCCCTTAAGTCTCTTCCTCTCGCCTAAGAGGAAACAAACCATTTCTAATGTTTCCCCAGCACCACCTGAAAAATATTTTCCATGCAAGTGTGTGAATATTTTTTTGAACGTATTTGAAAATTTCATCAGTGGTATCCCTCCCAATCTTTATTGCAGCCCCCCAAAAAGGAACACGTGAACTACAAGACTTACCAAGAGAAAATGAAAGGGGAAAAAACCGCAAAGGATGATATGGGAAAGGTTTGTGTGAAATTTTCTGTGTAAAAAGGCAGCATGTGAGAGCTAGCCCAAAAGCCTGGCAGGTAATGGCTCAGGTGCAGGAGGAGTGCCTGAGCTTGACACCCACTGCTCCCCATGGAGTGGGTTCCTGGCTCCAGCAGGACTAATTGCGTCACTAAAAGCTGGTTGTGTGCAGGATGAAGGGCACAGAGCTAGGCTTGTGTTGTGGTGGGTGTCACTGCCTCATCCTTTGAGGCTGATAGACTGATGACACAAAATCAGCAGGTTTTTTTTTTCCTTGCCTCTTAATGGGCGGGCGGGAAAGGTGTTCAATTAAAGTTTGTTGCATGTTTTCTAACCACAGAGAGCCAGATCTTCAGCTGGTTTTATATCAGCACAATTCCATCTAGGATCTTGCTCATTATTTAAAGCAAGGGTGAGGTTTCTGTTGCATCCATCCTCTAGCATGGCCCATCTGGCTCCAAGCCTACTCCCTGCCTCCCCGTGGAGCCTTCTCATGTAGGCGGGAGCAGGCTGCAGGGCAGGCGATTGCTCTAGCAGCCTGTTTCCTGCCACCCTCTTTCCCAGGGGACCTACTTCTCCTCCTCTGTCACATGGCTCAAAGTGCATCCAGTGCCTGACGAGATGTGGTTGAACCCTGTCATTTGACAGGTATGCTCAGTCAGGCGACTAGGCACACCTGCCTGGTAGCAAGTCCATCTTTTGACCCAAGAATCTGCCACATGCCCAAGAAGCAAGCCTTTCTCCCCTTGTGTTGCTGGATTTGTGCCTCCTCATGTGGCAGGGGCAGCACGTTGGTCATGAGAGGGCTGTGCTTTCCATAAGGTGACAGGAAGGGCTCTGGGCACTCCTAGCAGTGCCTCTGTAATGCATTGCATCACTTGGCCTGTTAGGTCTCCCTGCTTTAAATGCCTGCTGCTCCGTGAAGCAAAGGCTACTTGAGTGTTTTGTGTGCAGATGGTTGTTTATCCAAGATGCTCTGTTTCTTTTCCATTAAAATACGTGTCTTTAAAAACAGGAACATAAAGGTGATTCTCTTAAGAAGAAGAAGAAGAAAGAACAGAAGGAGAGGTGAGCTGTTTTTAACATGGTTAAAATAAACTTGCTTTTATACAGCCTCCCCAGTGTATAGCCCTTACGTAACTGTGCAGAGTCTTACACCAGAAGTCAGGCAAATCACAGTGGAAGGAACTTCTCCAACTGCAGAAGAACTGTTAGTCACAAAATGGTGACCTTGCTCTGTGTCTAGCAGTTTCAGAGGCCTTAGTTACACAGCTTGTGTGTCATTTCTGCCCCAACATGTCTAAGACTGCAGCTGGAGCCGAGATGGATGGAAATCCCTGTGTGCGGACCCAGGGTATGCCACTCACTCAGAGCCCTGGAAATAATTTTTGCAAAACACAAGCTACAGTATACAGAGGCTTGAAAGGTGAAGGGAAGCTTCATGAGTTTCTGGTGTATTTCTTAATCCATTGTTTCCCCCTTCCTATTACAGGAAGGCCAAAAGGAAGAAATCGGTGCCTAGCATTTGGCCTGCAGGACAAGTGGGAAAATTCAGAGATGGGACCTTGATTCTGCAAAGCTATGACATAAAGAAAATTAAATCATCTAAAGTTATCAAATGAACTTCTGGTACAAAGTGAAATGGACAATACGCATAAGATAGAATTCACATTGCTACCAACACGGACTTACAGAGCCTATCACCGTCCCACCATGTCCTGATTCTTTTACCTTGTTTTTTATTGTAGGATTTCCTATCTTCAGTTCTGCCTTGGGGAAAATATGAGAATTTACCATTTTATAAATAAAAAGAAGACTTTTTTATTAAGAAAGTTACACGGGCTGTTTTTATTAGTTAATATGTGTTAAAGAAAGCATTTCACTTTCTAGAATTAACTTATTGGCTGTAAGTAAAAAATTTAATTCACTGATGTATTAAAATATATAGCTTTTTGCTTTCATCTGGAAGGAATATGGAAAAAGCAATACCTTATTTGCTCTGAACCTGAAGCAGGTATTCTGAAACACTTACCAGGTATGTATCTGTTTCTGTATCTGTATGAATTGTTAGCGGATAGTGGAACTGCACAACAAACAGTTTTCCTGTCCAGCAAAACCTCTTAAGGTTTCAAAATTTTCTGCTTTGGAATGCAAATGAGATTTTCTGAAATTTTGACCCAGGTCAGAGTTACAGACTCAACTTGTATATCTCTGCAGAGATGTCCAAATAAGCACCATTTCATATGGTGGTTTGGTGGCTTGGTTGGTTGGTTTGTAAAAAGAAAAACATGTAAGACTGAGCCAAATGAGGCACAGATACTCAATAGCAACTGTTTGTTCATGGTTAACTTGTGTGTGTTTGTGTTCCCATGCTCATAAGGTTTTTCTGTGATATCTTTATCAAAAGTGAAGTTCTAGTGCTATTTGGATTTCAGCAATTTGGTGTTTCTGGAAGAACAGTTTTGTCCTCTGTAGCTAAATATTTTTTTGTTTTTAAGGTTGTGTTTCTATTAGAAATGGCAATGGTTAGTAACCTTCCAAAATGTCCTCTCCGCTATACCTCAGTCTAAAGAAACTTGAATATTTTAGAGGGAGGCAAAAATAAGGTTAACTGTTAAATGACAGAGGAAAAATTTCACACTGTGTTCTTTATATGTAAGGTTATTTGGAGCTTGTTTGAACAGCTCTGGCAGTGAAGCAGGTGTATACGAGAAGGAAAACAACCCTCACTGGAGAAACTTCTTATAGGTGTGTTGGTGAAATTCAGCATACCCCTGTGGGCTGGGGAAGCAAAGCATGCTTCCTGGCTGCCACCTGGGAGACTGAATAAGGTGATCTCTAACCCTGAGCGAGCGGCGAGGTCTGTGTCAGCTTGCAGCTCGCAACAAGAACAGGAGCATAGTCCTCTCCCCAAACAGCAGTATCAGAGGCTGCACCCTTCACAGGGTAGGAAAGTATTCTGGGGTAGGGAGAGCTGCACCACAGAAAGGGATGCTTTCTGGCACACTCCTTCCCCCACACCTTCCACCTTACTTTCAGGTCCTGGAGAGCCCTGCCAGCACAGAGAGGACTAAGAGGAGGGAGAGGGCCTGGAGGGCACGAGAGCTGGGTAAAAAGCAGAAGGGAGTGTTTCTGGAGCCATGTGGGAAGAGGAGGGGTGTGCAGAGTTGGGTTGCTAAATACTTCTATCACATACCATAATTGCATCATTCAGTCTCCTCTTACTTCAGTATTGGTTGCAGATTCAAACTGGAATTAACAATCCTGTCTGGTTACAGACTTAGAGAAATGTCAAATCGTGATTGCATGTGAAGATGTAATCACTAAGCAGAACTGAGTACAGAGCATCAAGACTTGTTGAGGCAACAGATGGGCTTTGGATGTTGTGGGATAACCTGTATTTTTTAATTCCTGGTTAATCCTTGAGCTCAGTTTTTCACTGCTCACTTCTAGATAGTTTTGTTCAACTGGCTTTGGGTATAATCTGTTGTGGGATTTTATGTACTCAATCAGCTTTGGTAATTGAAAGGGTTCACTTTCCACCTCCACAGCTCCCAAAAGCTATTTAGGACTGAAACTTGGTCAGAATGGAGTGTCTAATTTTTGCAGTCCTTGTCTCAAGCTTTTAAGCTCTGTTAAAGAAGAGTTGAGAAAAAAATCAGTTCTTAAAATAAAAAGTTGAAAACTGAAATGCTAAGCTGACAGCAGAACGTGAAAGCTTGGGGGAAAAAAAACCCCAAAATAAAAGCTTATTAAGAATTTTGCATTTTGTCACTTGTTTAACATTGGTGTGTATGCATTATGAAAGGTTTCTGTTATATGGTGATAGGTTGCTTTTTTATATCAAATCCCGAAGGTGATTTGAGCTGGCCATGCTACATCCTTGTAGGATGCTCTTCTCAGGTAAACATGGTACTTTCAGTCCTATTTTGTTATTAGACGCAGTAACAAAAATGGTAACAACTGACATTTGGCAAACAAAACTGTTGAGAACCTGTTATGCACCTCGTGTTTCTCTGGATTGGCATGTGTTACTAATCGAGTAATTAACAGTATGTAGATGTATGTTCAGGCAGCAAGCTGTGTTGCTTTTGGAGCATGCACTGATACACAAAAGCCAGTGTTGACTGAATAACTGATTGATTATGGGCAAGGGAGAGCAGGGACCATCTTATTTTGCCCTCTACCTGCAGTCAGATAGAGGAATGAGTGATAAAGGAAGAATGCAAGGATTTCTCCTTATCTGCTCTCTTTCGCATGCCTCTTCCTGTGACAGTTAGCTTTATTCTGTTTCCCCATGTGCTAAAACCATTGTGATTATCCTTCCTCCCAGTAAAACCCTTTGCCATGAAGGAGTTGAGGCCAAGTTGTTTCCTGCAGGAAGACAACAAAAAAAAAAAAAAGGCCATGTTGGATGGTGTCTCCACACTCCTGTCTGTGCTTATTCCTGATTGTTTTGGCTGGGTTTCTGTTTCTTACTCTGGTGCTGCTGTTAGTGTGTTGGCATGCTTTATTCTGCTTTATTAACAGACATTTATGAAGGTCGCATAGCTTCACTGAGGGCCTTTTTGCAGGGACTGAGTGTGCTGCCTCTGTAGCATTGCTCAGTCCCCCACAAGGCATGTGCTTGATAGAGGCGCGAAGCTCCAAGATGATACGTCATTTTAAACCATCTCGCAAAGTTAAGCCTTTTGTGCCCTGACAAGCTTTCTGCCCAGTCTGACTTTTACACTTACCCAAAGGCCTTTCCAGTCGGATCCTACTGGTGTCACAGTTACTTCCAGGCTCTGCTTACTCCAATGTCAGAAATTTCTAGAGGCTGGGAAGTCACCCAAAGTGTCTAAGATGGGTTGGAGCTAAGTAACACATCTCCAGGTACTCTATAACCAACATGAGCTGGAGCTAATGGAGTGGTGCTGAGAAAGAGAGGTGTTTCATGCCACTGAATCCAGGGTATGCCTGAAGTTGAGGCACAGATGGTTGCTCTGAGGGAGGACTCTTGGCTTTCTCCAGCTACTGGATTATTCTTGACTGTGGTAACAAAGCAGAGTTAGGCACGCATCCTGCGTGAGTGCCTCATCTACATTATGACTTTCTTTTTTATAGTAACTTGTAATAATAAATAGGGTACTGATGCTGAATTTGTTGGCAATGTTTTAAGAATTTATTTAGAAACTGTAAATCAGCATAAACTCATATGTCAGGTTTTCCAAAAGTGTAATAATAATAATAAACAAAGTTTTAGTTGGACCAAAAGACAAAAAGCAGTTTGTTTCCAATTCAAAAAATACAAACGTTTGCTACAGGTACAAAATTATAAAAAGTTTGTATTTTCTTCTTGATCTGGTGACAGACACATACAGCAGAGTTGTGTATTTCACCAGCTCCAAATTCTTATGCGCTATGGGAAATGACAATAAAGAAAAAAATGTCATGAAGAAAACACAGAAACAACTTCTTATCTTTCATTTAACCAGAAGTGAACACCATTCTCTTATTCCTTTGCACTTTTTTCGTTGCCAACATTTAAATTAGTGTTATTCATGCTTCATATAACAATCAGAAATAACAGCAGGTTTACCTCATGCATTTATTTTTAATATTCATCACATAATGTCTTCTCACCATGCTACCTAGAAAGGTTAGTGTTTTTATTGACAACATTTAAGGGAGGTGAGGGATGAAGGAATGCAGTTAGGATCCAGGAATATTTCTATCTACTACTTCACAACAAAATGTTAGAAATCCTCCAATTAGCATAAAAATAATTTTGTAATTAATTCTGCTTGGATCTGTTTGCAATAACAAATGTAACAAAAAGGTCACTTAACAGAAGGGGGAAAAGCTGCTGAGTGCCTCTGTCAGTAAAACGCACGTCTGTCTCCTGTATTGTGCAAAGATGCAGGAGCCCCGCATGTCTAGTCTCTGTGGCTTGCAGATGGGCTTCTGCATGTAAGAAGACCAAGTGCGTCTTATTTATGATAGATTTGTGCTTTAGGCTGCCACTGCAGCCGATTGTGTGTGTGCAGTGTTCAGTAGTGCTGGGCAGAGGAATCACCAGAAATGTTGTCAGTAAAAACTAGAAGCAGCTAATTTTTTTTTTTTTTAAAAAAAAGACTCTCCATCTTTGTTTGGTCATTTTCAGTGACAAGTGCCCTGTACATTTGCAATGTGGTCGATTTGTTGCTGTAACCTGTTGAAGGACTTGAAACTGTAATCTCCCTTCCAAAGTTGATCTAGCCAAGATGCTTGGGGTTTTCATATTATCTTTCCTGGTTCAAAGTTGAATTCTTGACTTTGCTATTTAAGCAGAATGCTGCAAAGCTGGTAAAGCCCGAGATTAGGTCTTAACAACTCTCTTTCCTCATCTTTCTGTTTGTGAGCAAAGGATGTACTAGATGGCACTATAAAGCTGCTGTTACCAGGTTGTTGGTACTTTGCATCCATTCTCACAGGAGCGAGTAATCTGAATTGTGGTCCAAAAATGCACCACCTCTTGTTGGCAGTCACAAACACGGTATTTTTCATATGTTGGTAGTAGCAGCTTAGCTTTGATCTCATCTCTTTCTTACTTGTTTAAGAAAAATTATTATGTAAGAAAGAAAGGGAAAAAAAAAAGCTT